CGCAGCACATTCCGCCCGGTCCTTCTGCCACCCGTCTTCGCTATGTGGAGAACCGCGACCGACTTCGCGTGGCAGGTGCTGCCAATATGTCGGCAGCCGCGCCTGCCACGCCTGTTGCTCCGCCTGCCTCTATGCCAGCCGCGCCGGTCGCTGCGCCGATTCCCGCGGTCGCCGTACCAGCCGCGCAACCGGTTCAAGGTGCCTTCATCGTCATACCGCCTGCGCCTGTTTACCTCCCGCCAATCTTCCAGGTACTCGCTGACCTCCCTAACCCACCGTACAATATCGTGCTGCCTCCTATCATCGCACACCAGCCTCCGGTCATCGCAAACCAGCCGGCGACAATGCAGAACCCCAGGATGCGGCTGGGCTTCATTATGATGTAGCGGCGCGCTGTCTCCTATCCAATATAACGCAGGGAAGTGGGTTTGAAATGGTCGTGAAACATGTAAAGTAGTTAGCCCTCATCTATCGATTCTTTGTTGCGTACCTCGGGACGATTAGCCTTGAACCAGGCGTGACTTGGAGTTTGTAGCTGAGACAACACTGATTTGTTGTCGTCGTCAGTATCTCGTCGAAAAATGTGGTGACGCCGGTCGTAGCCATGTGTGTGAAGGGAGAGGGAGGGATCTGGAGAGATGCGGCTGGAGAGCGGAAATGCGAAGATTTTCGGTAGCGTCGTGGCGTTTGCGATCGATCGGGGTCCCGGGCGCACGTGACATGAATGTGCCCCGAGAGACCGCTTGGCCCAGGCTCACCTCCTATACCCGTCGGATTCTGCGAGTGAGTGTATCCCCGGCTGAGATCATACACTCTCCTGCTATACAGGATCTTTATATGTGGCGCCTTCTTAATATTAGACAAGGTCTGACTCCGCTGGAAGTTTTCACAATGCTAGCGGCAGATTGTTGACTCACTTGTTCATTTTTGGAACGACAGACAGCCAACTGACCAATCATTTATTATAGATAGTTACCTGCGATAGCCACTCCGCAGACTCTACGCACATGGCCTCGACTTGCCTGGCCAACGGTGTCGGGCAAGCGTGAGTGGCGGACTCGCTCGTCTCTCGGAGGTTTCTGGACTTGGTGAAAGAGTGTCGCCCAACGGCACAAGCCCAAGTCGCATATAAGAGCTGCCCAAGACATCTGTTCGGTCATCAGTGTTTCGCAGCACAATTGAACGTGGCCATTCCCATCCCTTCGCCGCGTGACCCGTGCGTGTGGGGCGAGGACATGCGTGCGCTCCCACTATGCTTCCGCGGACGTGTGCTGACGCTGTTCATCCCAAGCAGAGGAGCTCCGGACCGAGCAAATGCTCGACTGCAGAGGCGCTCCCAGTACGTGGTAGACTGTGCCAGCCGCACGCTCGTACGCTACCACGCCAGCCCGACGCACGGCACTCGGATTCGGCATCTGTGCCTGCATCGCACGCACCACCTGCCATACACCTCCATGTGCCTCGCTAACATGCCGCACAGGGCCTGTCATTCGCGGGGCAGGAAGCTCAAGTCACGCTTATCTACCTGACACAACGCTTCACGTTCTCTATGCACGATCCGTGCCCGCGTGAGGCGTTGGCGTAACTACACCCGGGCGGGTGCCGGTGCAGCGAGAATCGAGAGCTTGGTGTCTTCTGTAGACAAAACAGTTTCAGACATCTCTGAGTCCCTTTTGGTTCTACTTTTGACAATTTTGATGTTAATTTTTTGATATCAAAGCCATGTGCTTCAGTGCAACATACCTCTGGCTATCTTCCCGTGTATTCGCTGACATTCAATGTGGACCATCCCAGCGCACCGAGCACCCATATACCCTTGGGCTCCCGCGAGTACGGCTAGGCCTGGACGGCGTGCGCGGAATACATTGCCCATCATAATCGAGAATGCCACTATACCAATGCCGTGAGCGATATCTCAGAGCGCTACACGTCCTACAGCTGATCATGCTGACAGTACCAGCGAGATGCGCCCGAACGCACCGTGTGGATTCTGCGTGAAAATGTCTCAGTGGATTCGGAGTTTGTGAAAGACTGCCTTTTGGAGATGCCACTGCGTAGCGTTGTATTACTGCCCCGGAATGCATGTATTCACGTACCACCGTTCCTGACGGCATATCACTGAATTGGGGTCATTAAATATAACAAGCTTCTGGTATCTTGCTCGCACAAGCTACAAACATCAATATCCGCCTAGAATCAGGGCATACTGCGGAATCTGGTACAGTCTTCAATACCGGCTCATGCCTCAGCGCTGGCCTCATGACGTCCCTCCTCTCCCACTTCTGCAGCATCACTTTCTCCATCATAAGGTTCGTCGCCCCAGCCATCCTGCAGCGTTCCCCCCATACCTCCCAACCGATCTGTTGGCTTTCTGAATTGCAGCGACGACTGTTGTTGCTGCTGGTCGCTTACATGTGTGGAGTAGTCCGACACTGTCGAGCCGGCCGTCTGAAGGTTGATGATGAATCGGTTGATGAGTATCGAGGGCTGGGTGGGTAGTCCGAGTCCATGAGTACAAACAATGTGAACGGAACGTAGGGTACTCACCAGGGTTGTCATCAACCCGCTTACTATTGTTATCGAGTCCTTGAGCTCGACGTCAGCTATCCACTCATGTTCTCACGTTAGGGACGCACCGAGGAGGAGACGTTAACTGTCAGCAGCTGGGCTATATTGAGAGCCAGTAGAGCTCTGTGTCCATTGTTGCCTGTGAGAAATTCCTTCTAATGCGGCTGTCTCGTTTTACTCACATGAAATACATGGTTCCTGAATGAGTAGCTGGGCTTTAGCCACAGGAAATGTAAAGTTGCGTGTAGAACCACTGACCATCGCGCAGCAAACATGTCGTCAGCGACGTCTCCATCTTAAGGCGGCGGGCATTCCTCCAGTGTCTGAACGTCTTGTTCCACGTTAGGACGAGCACAATACCGTCAGCGAGGATGAGGGAACCACGTGTGATATACAAGACTGTGAGCAAGTAGTATCAGTGCCTCCGATACATTAGAAGTCAAGTCCTTGACCGCGAAACATACGTCTATATTGCAAAATTATTATTGTGGAAGCGCATCGCGAGATATGTGTACCCACATGTTATATGTCCGTGCAGAGATCTGAAACACTTGGATGCAGGCCGCTCCAATGAGCGGGTCCACATTGGAACTGTACTTTTCTATTGCTGCATTGTACTGCATGGATGCGTGAGCTAGACTACATGCAAGGTTCAATTATAAGAGTCACACACCATATTCGTCGCAAATGGCACCATGCCCAACGCAAACGTGATCAGCGACCAGACATAGCTCTTATCCCGGACTGCGAAGACACGCAAGGCAGAAAAGACTGGCACATGGAATTCAGCGAATGTATTTTGATTTGGAAAGACGGCGTGATGCGTACGTGCGGCCTGGAGAAATTGCATGAGGGCGAATACCCAGTACAGGGTCTGAAGCGCCGTACAGCTATATATCGAATGTCAGTAAGCGACCCGCTGCCCGCAGGCCTTTAAACAAGCTGTACTTACTCCTGTAGTAAGCATTGTCACGGATTGCACACGGCCAGAAACATTCAAGGCTTACATTCGTAGTTGTCGGCGCAAGATTCGCGACGTTCGCGAGGAGCATACACCATCGTACCGAGCCAAGGAGCACGGCACGTGCAGTGATAGGCCTCCTCCAAACAATCTCAATCTCGTTGCTGAAGGTGATCAGAAATTCGTAGGTGACGAGGCCTGAGGGGCACGCCGTATGAGTGATGAAATGGGAGGCAAACGATGTACTTGCACGC